AGCTACCTTCCTGCTGTTTTTTTTTTGATGAGGACATCTGCCCTTCCTATTGCTTATTTTCTTTCACATTCCCCAACCCCTCACTCCCCAGATACCCAGACCCAGAGACCTTCATTACACTTTAGTCTGCCCTTAGTAGGCACAACCTCATGTTTCACATGCATCCCTTGAAATTCCTCAAAACCCTCCCCACCCCACATCAAATCTTACTTGTTCTATACCACATCTTCTCAGGGCCTTGTTCAGCAGCTAAAGTTAATCTAATGGATTCCATAAACAATAATGTATTAATAGCTTCATTATTACTTTGCCCAGGGATTAGTGGATGAAGGGCTGATTTTGAAGGCAGGAAATCTTGGAGTGTGTTTCCACACAGGGAGTTTGGGAGTTTCCGATATGCTGAATCTATCCCCTACCTCCCACCTCCACACTCACATTTACACTCATACACTTTGTCAATTTGAGGATTTGTAAAGGTCTGCCTAGAAAAAGCAACATCCAGTGAAATGAATATTTAATGAAGGAATTTCAGTAATTATGGCTGGTGGGAGAGAGAGTTTTGAAGAGAGGAGGTTTTTCCTGGAATTCTTCCATAGGCAGCTGCCTACTTTCCTTATTTTGCCTTTAAAAAAAATCCAAAAGGAACAAGGAAACACGCATTTAGCACTTACTCTGAAAGTACTGTGGGCACAAGGGCAGTTTTGTGTGTGTGTGTTTGTGTGTGAAGGCTTACAAATGAACTTGGGCTAATGACCATAAACTGGGAATGATTAACAAATTCATTAGAAATATTTGACAATGATGTCTACAGCATTTGAAAACTGGTTTCTGCCGAAGTCTCAAGTAGAAGGCAAACATTACAATTGCCTGGTAGAAATATCATGTTTGTGTTTTCTAAGTTTCTGTGATCTTCTTAGCATTACATTTTGTGTCAAAGGGTCATTTTGTATTTTTGAATATCAACAATTCTTATTATGGGAGAGGGCTTTGGTTAAACTAATGGCATAATCTCATTTAAACCACACATTGGATCCCACCTGATAAATAAACTAATAACTGTTGCCTTTTTATGCACCCTTTGTCCAACTTCCATAAAACAGGGCTAATGATTGTATGAATGTATTATATGCACACACATGTATGTATATATGTACACACACGTGTACATATACACATATACATGCATATATATGTGTGTATATGTACACACATATACACACACATATATGTGTGTGTGTGTTTGTGTGTGTGTATATACATATATATATATATATGACATATGGTACTCTTGTCTGAAGAACTCCCAGTTTTTCAAATCCCTACATCAACTTAAGAGGAACTTAGATAAGCCCTAGTGAGTAGCCTGAGGAAAACAAGGGTTAAGTGACTTGTCAAAGGGTTACTCAGCTAGTAATCAATCAGCAAGCATTTATAAAGCACCTACTATAGAAGTCCTGCAGGAAGCACTGAAGCTACAAATACAAAGAAAGAAGCAATCACTAGGCAGCTAGGTGGTGCAAAGGACAGAGCACTGGAACTAGATTCAGGAGGAATATAGTCCAAATCTGACCTTGGACATTTGCTAGCTGTCTCTGTTTGCCGCAGTTTCTTCAATTGTAGAATGGGGATAATAACAACATCTAACTCAGAGTTGTCGTGAGGATGAAATGAGATGATATTTGTAAAGAGCTAGCACAGTGCCTGGTACCTAGGAGGCACTATATAGATGTGTATTCCCTTCACCTTCCTACTAGCTGTATAATTTTGGGCAAGATACTTTATGCTTTCAAACTTCTGTTTCCTTATCTGTAAGATGGAGGGGTCCTGGGAAGAGGGATTAGACAAGATACCCTGTAAGATCCCTGAAAGCTCTACACTTATGATTTCTAGAGATATATGAACTTCTCTTCAACTTTTTTTGATTTATAGAATCTCAACTTTTTTTTCTCCCCTTAAGCCTGAAAGAATATGAAATAAGGTTAAACAATTTTATATAACCACACTTTTCCTTTTAAAACCAGGCTCATTCAACATATATTTGAAAAAATAACTATATATATATATGTATGTGCTATATATACATATATATGCATATATGTCTGAATATGTAAAGTGTGTGTGTGTGTAGTTTGGGAACTTAGATTCTGTTCAGGTCAGCACCATGAAAAAAGTTTTGTTTTTAACTGAGACTGACAGGGAAGCAAGTATGTCATTGTAGGATTATGGATGGTGTGTGACTATAATGCTAATATGACATATTATTCTTTGGCAGACTAAATAAGGGCAACTGGGTGCCAGATATGTAGTGTGTGTGAATGGTGGGTTAAGCAATACAGAAATTTCTTATTTAAAAATATGTCACCACTCCCTTCCTCAGGCGGAAAAAAAGTTGAAAACAACTCTTTTAGTCATCATATGAAAAACAATTTCAAAACCCACTTACTACCTTTCTGATGTTCGCCAAGTCACTTAATCTAAGACTCATGTTTCTCATCTGATAAATGTCAATAACAACAATAATAGCAATACATCAATCTACCAGCAAGAATGTATTAAATTCCTATTATGTGTCAGTAACAATGGCAACTAATGTTTCTGTAACAGCTCAAAGTTTGTGAAGAACATATTTCATTTCATTTGATTATCTCATCTGTAAAATAAGGGGTTTGGACTAAATCACTTCCAAAATTCCTGCCAATGCTAAATCTTTGATCTTAAATAGTGCAAATATTTGGGCAGCTAGGTGGTGCAGTGGATAAAGCACTGGGCCTGGAGTCAGCAAGATCTGAGTTCACATTTGGCTTCAGATACTTATTACCTGTGTGACCCCTGGACAAGTCACTTAACCTCTATTTACCTCAGTTCCTCATCTGTAAAGTGAGAACATACTGAAGAAGAAATGCAAACCAATCAGTATCTTTGCCAAGAAAATGATGGACTTCATCTGTGGAGTCACATGGAGTGGAACATGACTGAACGATTACGACAAAGTAACATTGACTCTGTTTTAGAGGAAAACGAAACTCCTAGAGTCTAAGTGATCTGCCCCTGTAAATACAATAGTAAGTTTCAGTACCAGGATTTGAACACTAATCTCAGCATTCCAGGTCCAGTGCTTTTTCTACTAGACCAGACAACCAAAATATGTAGATTACATTTATTTTCCTCCTCAAATCTAGTTTCACTCATATATTTAATGAAGTCTGCTAGAGACTAAGACTCATTAATAAGTGTGGCAAAGCTCAACTGTGATGCTTCTCTTTATAAATGGAATTGAGGGCTATGCAAATATAGCAATTAAGTGCCCTGAATTCCCATTAATTAATTTTGAGCATCCCAGCTGCTTGTCCTGATTCCTGTTTACTGAGAACCAGAAGTGATGATACTATAACTGCTAAGTTTTCAGCAAGTGGATGTAATAACCTCTGTAACTCTGCACGTTGTTCCTTCCTTGTATACAACGTGATTCCTCCCTGCAAGAAAACAAAACAAAAACAAAACAACAACAACAAAAACCCACTCCAACAATACAGTTTTGATCAGAATGTGCAAATCGATGGTTCTACATAGGCAGAGCTATGATAATTTTAGTAATGTTATAATTTACATCCTACTTTCTTTCAAAAGTTTTGAGGATGATTCATACGTATAAAGTGGGGAGATTAAAAAGAAAAATAGAGCAACCACCAAATAAAAGGAGATTGAGGCATTCTAGTGAATTGAGATGAGTCTATTATTACAAGCACGAAATTTAACTCTGATCTTCCTAATATCTTAGACAAAAAGGGGGGGAAAGTTGTCATTTTAGACAAAGAAGTATTTATACAATTCTTGAAAATCTTAAGGGAGGAATTTTCCCCATTTGCATTTGGTAAGTCCCAGTATCAAGAAATTTATAATAATCAGACATAAGACAAAGTCATCCTGTAATACAAATATCATTGAGATTAAATGCATAAAGATTACTTGGTAGTTCCAGAAGAATTGTGAAGGTCTTCTGATAGTGGAAAAAAATATGAAGTATAAATAACAACTGGGAAGAAGTAGTCTAGAAGTTCCCAGTTATACCTGTTTAGTTTTTTCCTTAAATTTCTTTCCCTGCTCTCAGAGGAGAGGTAGGGATTGGATTGAAAGGCACTGAGCCAAACTAAGAAATTGTCACATATAAACTGGGTTTGGTGAGACTGGGATTATTTGACTCAAGCTAGGTTTTTGACCTTTTACTCTAGTCAGGGTGACTTAATGTAAACACGGACAATCCACATTAGTAATTTTCAGGCCATCTGCAAAACTTCAAAGTAAGCAAATCTTATCCTTTTTTTTTTGTAAACCCATTTTCCCTTTCCTTTATCTTTTCCCCAATCCCAAGACAAATAATTCTCTCCAATCCCTACTTGCTTTTGATGAATTCAGGCATCACCCACTTCAAACTCTTCCTGTGTTATCCTTCCATCTTTCCCACAAAAGCCCTTGTCTCTAGGCTACAATGCTAGGTAATTTCTCTTACACCACCATGAGCATTAAAGATGTGACTCTTAGGTAAGAAAAGAGATGAGGGCTAGAGATATCTATTTCAGATTCATATGCATAGACATGATAGTTGAAGCTATGAGGATAAATGAGATTTTCAAGGGGAAAGGAGTAGAAAGAGTAGAGAAAAGAGTCAGGATAGACACTGGGAGAACACACACATTAAAGCATTGACATTGAAAAGCCATGAAAAGTTGGTAAGGAGACAGGGACAGAAAAGTAGGTAAAGTGAGTCAGCATGTCTTCATTATAGATGCTTACTATGTACCAGACCATAATTAAAAATTGGTGATGCAAAGAAAGAAAAAAATAATTAAAACTATTCATGCCCTTCTAGAAGCATGGAGAAAAAAATATGTAAATAATAGGTACACACCAATATATGTATATAGTGTTCAGTCATTTTTTTTCAGTCATGTCCAATTCTTTGTGACCACATTTGAGGTTTTCTTGGCAAAGATACTGGATTGATTTGCCATTTCCTGATCACAACTTATATGTGTCTACCCATCCTTTGCAATTCGTGTCCATGTGGATCTATAAATAAGAAATACAAGGGTCATCCTATAGGTCTCAATGTTAGATAGCTATCAATTCAGCACATGAGCCTTCATTCTTACTACACGACATATTTCCAAAGTGTAATGGGCTTCCTTGAAAGGTAATGTGTTGCCTTCCTGAAGATCTTGTAGTAGGAGCTTCTGATCCCTTATCAGGAATATTATAGTGGAGATTCTTTTAAGTATAAATTGGATTCAGTAGTCACCGAGGTCCTGTCCAACTCTCAGATTCTGTAACTCTGTGGCAATCATTTCTCCTTGTATATTTTATTTTAGTTGTGGCACATAATTCATCATTTGTAAGATGCTGTAGCCTATTTATGCCTATCACTCAGCCCTTTAATGCCCTTTGGGGAATATGCAATTCTGATTCTTGAAAGACTATATTATTCATAGCCATATGCAGAAAAGGAAGAGAATAAACATTTATTAAGCACTGCTACATGCTGGGCACTGTGCTAGCTCTTTACCAATATTTTATCATTTGATCTTCACAACAACCCTGGGATGTAGTTACATTATTATCCTTATTTTACAGATAAGAAAACTGAGGAAAATAGAGATTAAATGACTTGCCCAAGGTCACATAGCTAGTAAGTTCCTGAGGCTGAGTCTGAACAGAGATTTTCCTGACCCCAGGTCCAGTGTTTTACCCACTACACCACCTAATAGCTTGTGCAATCAATGCATGCCATCCAAAAAGAGAAATCACCTAAAGATCTTATCATTTATATAAAGAATCTCTCTTCCTTTGAAACTCCGCATTGGAATTCTCCATGAAAATGGCAAATATGTTGCCCTAATACTTCCCTTTTTATCAATAATCAGAGAATCACTGAATAAAATTATCTTTTTGGGGTTCTCCTAAGAGACTTCTGTCAATTATATGTAGGTGAGAAATTTGGGGTGTGGGAGAGAATATTTAAGGCAACGTTTTGTTTGCAAAGTAAATTTTTTTAAGTTTTATCGATCATTTTTGTTTCTTACAACACTTTCATTCTCTCTCTCTCTCTCTCTCTCTCTCTCTCTCTCTCTCTCTCTCTCTCTCTCTTTATCTATATCTATTATTTCATCCCATACCAGATTTGAACTCATTCTTATAAAAAGAAAAAATTAAGTGAACACAACCTATGCAGTAACCATATACAAAAGTATATGTAACATTCTTCCCTTGCCTTTCTTCTGAGAGGAGGGAGATATGTTTCGTTGTCTATTATTCAGAACCAATATTGGTTTTGAAAATTACTCAGAGGTTGGCTTCTGTTAGTGTTCTTTTCACTTACATTCAGGGGTATGCTGGAGCCAGCTTACAGGAGCCAATTGTAAAATTTTTAATGTGATGATTTATGCTCCATAAATCAGTAAATGCTACATATCAGTAATTGATTTATTGATTTATAAACTTATTGTTTATAAGTTTAATAAAGTGATGGAGAAAATGTCAATAATGTAGATTAAACCTAAAAGAGTGTTATATGTGTACTTGGTGAGGGAGGTAGCAGGAAAGTTGGTTATTAAACATTTACCATCAACTTCTTACTTACATTGTAAAGAAGTACCACTAATGCGACCCCACTTCTGGGCCCCACTAAATTTGGAGCATTTTGAAAGAAAGTCATTTGTTAGAGTTCAAGGCTAAAACACAGAGACTTGATTCCTTTCTCCTATCCATTTTAATTCCTAGATTTGATGGCAGAAGTCTCTCCAAATGGGTGCATGTATGATGAATCAGCATATGCAACATAAAAGGAAAAGCAGGGAAAGAACCACATTTATTATTTAGGAATTTATATAAGATTTATTAAGGGACATCTTTTTTGCTAACTTTAAAGCATGGTATAAATTCTAGCTATCATTATCATCATTATTTTGATTAAAATATGTATGCATGTATAAATTTCTCTAAAAAGCGGTGTTAGTTCATTTGTGTTCTCCAGAAGAAGGGTGGCACATGAAGGTATCAAAATTCTAAGAAGCAAATATATCCTTATATACCATAAAAAGGAGCATAGCCAGAAACAACAGACTATAAAAGGAATTGCAGCAGTCACTTTAAGAGGCCACTCAACACATTAACTTGGTTATCATGTATATGGCTTTTCTGATTCTGTTTATTTGCAGAGTAAAATAAAATTATTTTACTCTGTTTTTAGTTATATGCATTTCTCATATATTATTGAATTTCTCATAAATATATCTTTTCTTGTCATATAATTGTATTCCATTTCATCAAATGTTTTTAATTATCAACAAATAATAAAATCGTCGGATCTTATATTCTTTCTACCATTCAATTTTGTGACTAAAAGGGAATGTTCTGCTCTAGGGTGTTGTTTGGAAAAGTCTGTCCATTTCTTTCTTATGTTTTCCTTAAGTATGCTCTCAATATGTATATATCTCATTCCCATAAAGATTTTGTATTGATGAGAAAATATGTATATAAGTCAGTAGTTATTAATCCTTTGTTTTATTTTTTCCTCAATAATAGGGCTTGTGACTTTTCCTTAAATGATACCTGCCCCTCTTTAAGAATTATATAAAAACTGATCCTTCAGGGCTCTAATTATCATATTACTTACATTTAACAGCACTGACCTTCTACATATAGCACACACACACACACACGTACACAAAAACCTATTGTCATTCAACTGTTATTTTTACCTTTGATTTCTTCCTGCCCTATCCACTTTCTTATATAGCACATCAGGGACTGTTACATGAGAATATAAATTGGTGGCTCCCCTGCTTTGATGAAGAAAATATTTTGTTGAGATTGCTTCCATCCTTTTATTGTCCATTTGTTACAAGAAAACCTATGAATCAAGGAGATGTGACCTGAAAAAAGTGAAGTGAAATTGATGAATAGAAGATCCTTGGGGACCTTAAAGTGAAGATTTTCAATATGGTGGTATAGACAGAAGCCTCTTTATAAGGTTTGAATTCCCCAGGCCTACCTTACTGGCCCTTCAGACAGTTTAATACTTTGGCAGTCATAACACATTATACTTTTGGAGAACTCTAGGAATTGATAGGAAGTACTTCTTTATCAGGTACTAAAACGTGTCTCTGAAACTTCCATATATTTACCCTACTTTTTTTGTGTATTTATACATACATACATACATACATACATACATACATACATACATACATAATACACATATCCTACATATTTAAAGGCAGCTATCATTTCTACCTATCTCTTTCCCTTACTCAAATCATCATAGTGGCCATATGATATGAGCTATGTTGGCTGGCGCATCACAATGTTGGCTCAGTTTTAGTTTGCAATTAGTTAAATTTTCTAGACTTCAGTTTCTTCTTTGAAATGTGGAATTTGGAATAGATTTTTCTGATATCCTTATATCCCATTATAGATTGTCTTTGTTAGATCAAATCTGAATTATTATGTTCCTTAGGAACAAGTATTAGGAAGGACATTGACGTTTGGAGTAAGATTTCAGAAGAATGAAATGTCTGAAGACCATGCCTTATGAGGATCAGTTGAAGGAACTGGGTGTGTTTAGTTTAGGAAAGAGAAGACTGCAAAAAGACATAATGATCTTCAAATATTTGAATAGCTATCATGTTTTGCTTGATATCAGAGGGTAAAATTAAAATAGAGGTTAAAAAATCAGAGGCAGGTTTTTACTCTATGAAAAGAAAAAAAACCCAGCAACTTCCTATTAGCGATTCTAAATGTGAAATGGTATACCTGATGAAGGAAGAAAGGCAGAAAAGGAAGGAAAAAAACCCCAAATATTCATTAAGAACTCACTTTGTGCCAAATGCTATACTAAGTTCTAGGGATATACATATAAAAGAAAAGAGGAACCTATCCTCAAGAAGGTCATATTCTAATAGGGGAACAAATACCCAGAAATGAGCAGTTATCACAGAGGGATACTATGATCTACAAAGTTTCTGGATTGGTGAGTAGTACCTTAGGGAAAGATTCATACATACATTCCATCAAGAAACAACTTCAGAATTGATTTGATCAGAGTTCCAGAGCTGGAGTGGGATATGTAGGAAAAAAGGATACCTGTGGTAGGGAGGCTGTGGAGGAAATGGCCAAAGAACTGGAAGTGAAGTGAAAACTGGCGTGCGTATTTTTTGAAATAGTGATTGTAGAAAAGTAGTTACCAATCAGAAGTACAGGCCAGTCTTAGTTGAAGATGAAATGACCATGTTAAAAAATAACATTAGTGAATCCATTTTGCCTTTATCCACCATTTTGTAAAGCTAAGTTTCAGTTGCTTGTAAGTCACCTGATTTTGAAGAAGTCACAAGATTACTCCCCTTCCCAAAGGTCACCTAACTTAAAGAATGTCAAGAAACTACCCCCTTTCCCTCTCACTTCAGTGTCTCACTCCTACGTTGAGAAACCAGATGTCTCAATCCCTAGAATCGTATTTTTTACTCCTTCTAAATTGTATATTAACTGTATAGAAACCAAGCTTTGGGGTCCTTAGCAACCAAGAACTTTGGACCCACTCTGTTTTGCAACCACATGCATTGCTAATTAAATTGTCTGGATGAATCTTTGTTTCTTCCCCCCCCCCCCCACTATTAATAGTTGGGGATGTAACAGAAAGGATTCCTTATAGACTTTGATTAGACTAGATGTCCTCTGGCATTTCTTTGAACTCCAAGATTGTGCAACTCTGTGGGGAAAATTAAAAAAAAAATTCACACAGATTCCATGATGTAATTGTGAAATATATCTACCCCCCCCCCCCGCAAGAATAGGTCTTTAGATTTGTCAGTATTTTTCCTAAGTGATATTAGATTTGTTCAGGCCTATGGAAATCTTTTTGGAACCCAATTCTGTCATCTCATGAGGTGGCTTTATTGTCATATACAAAGGTGAGCTTTGTGTCATATACAAATTTTATAACTACATCATCTATGATTTCATCTGGTCATTGATTAAAATGTTGAATGGAATAAAGCCATGCACTGATCCCTGGGGTTCTCTAGTACACCTCCCTCTGGAATGACATTGGTCCCTCTAGTCTTTGAGTCTGATTGTTCAACCAGTTAGGAATCCCCCTAATTGAATTATTTTATAGTACTAATCTTTCCATCTTCATCATGAAGAAAACATAAGAGACTTTACTATATGTATTATTGGAGTCAGGCATAATGTGTCCACATTCCCCTCATCAATCCTAATTAACCCTCTTAATAGAGGAAATGAAGCATGACCTATTCTTAATGATCTCATTGCTACTAATTACTGATCATTGCTTCACTTTCTAATTGTTTAAAATCTATTCGTTAGTCATTTATTCGAGGATTTTGCCAGGACTCAAAGTCTCACTCACTTGTCTATAGGTAGTTGCATCCATTCCACTTCCTTTTTGAGAACCATTAGAGAGAAATAAATTTTTCCACGTAAAATTTTGAACAGATAGTACTACCAAGAATTTGTGTCACAATCCTCCTTAATTCAAATTACGATGGATATATGAGGTACTATATACTGGTATGCTCATTTTGCATGAAGCTGGAATGTTTGTAGAGTCATCCTTAAAGAGTGATTTCATTGGCTATTCACAAGGTAATTACTGAGCAATTGGTGGGATCCCTAATAGTCTGATCTGGTTACCCACAGAATAATTATTTTTGTCATTATGGTGACTGGAACAGATTGACCAATCAAAAATAAATTGTTTGTTAGAACCTGACTGTTGTGGTCTAATAAAAAGAATCAAGTTTCATAACAACCATTCGACTGAACCATCACATAGTCTAAGGGATTTGCGTGAAGAAGGTACCTCCTTTTTTGACATGCATTTTCAGATGTTCTGAATGCTTTTTATACTTCATATAAAACGCAGGGCATTAACAGCAAACATTTAAAAATATTTTAATTGTTTTCCATTTGGTATAAAATCCTTTCAAAAAAAGAAATATTTGATTTTTGTTAAGCAAGACAGAGCTACATCAGTCTATGCATGGATGCTTTTGTTTACAACCTTCCTAAGAGCTGTTGCTTAGCAACTGCAGTGAAGAAGCTGCTACTGCTCTAAATCACAGGCTGTATTCATACAATTTAAGTTCTCAAAAAGGACTGGATTCTATTAGGAGAGATTTTGATATTCAGCATTTTGAATACATTGGCACCAATTCTTATTCATCACACATGCATAAAAATAGATTTGAAAGAATTTATCTGTAAATATTCTATTTCTTTTAAATAGTTATCTAAGTTAGTCTATACTGTTTAATTAGTATTCAGATTTTTTAAAACCTATTGTTTTAGAACTTACAAGACAATAGTATACTATGTAGACATTTGCATAACCTAAAATAACCTAGTAGCAAGAAAATTATGATTTATCTAAAATAACTATTATTTGGTTGACAAGCATTTACAGATATTATCCAAGCCAAACATTTTGGCTTCTTTTATTGCTGGAATATCATCTTGCATAGATGGTTTGTTGGGGTTCAGGGTTTATGAACTCATAATATTAAAATAATTCCATTTCTTTCTTGATTAATAAGGACTCTAAGCCAAAAGGATCAGGGTGTGGTTAATGTTTCCATGCCTCACAAGATTTTCTAGTTTTGTACTTTGTGAGTCTCAGGAATTTTATGTATGTTGTAGTTAGTCTAAATTGAAATTTTATACAAAATGATTTTCTGTCATAATGATCAGTTTTCATGCTTGCATGTCCTTTGTTTATTACTATTTAGATATAGCAGATTTCTCTGATTATGCCATTCTAGTCAAAGGATCATTGATCACAGAGCTGGAAGGGGCATCAGAAGATATCTAGTTCTATCTCTTTTATTTTATTGATGAGACAACTGAGTTTCAGTTAGGTTAAGTAACTTGACCAAGGTCTCACAGATTGTGAGTTAGAAAAGTTAGGAAGGAAAATTAATATTTATAATTGCTTCTTATTGTGATTGATCTGTTTCCTCAATATGCTAAATAATGAGTAACATGTAAATATAGGAAAAGGCATAAGGTTATGTAAAAAGTGGCCACTCAAAAAATTAAAGCCCTTTTAATGATGATGATGCTGGTGATGTGATAATAATGATAGCATTTATAGCAGTTTAGGTTTTGCAAAGAACTTTGCAAAAATCTTATCTCATTTTATCTTCACAATAACCTTAAGAGGTGTAGGACCTATTACATCCCCATATTATCCCCTTACATATGAGAAAACTGAGGGAAACTGATTAAGTGACTTGCCCAGGGCCTCACAATGCCTGTCTGAGACAAGTTTTGAACTTAGACCTTCTGTCTCAGAGATTCTGTAGTTCAGAACCCTCTATTCTGAACCCTGCATTTCTATCTGTTCTCATACTTGGAAAGGCATGGTTGGTTTGAATGGGTTTTGGAGATTATTTTTTCTTGGGAATTAGAGAGAAGGATCTTTTGTAATTACAGTTATGCCTTCCACATCAAGACTTTCCCCATTAAAGTTTTGATATATCGAAGGTTGGGATAAGAAATTAAATTAGAATTCTTGGGGAATCTTATGGAAGCCACAGAAGACATACAAAGGCCAGCAGACAGCACAGAAAAAGTTTAAAACTTAGAAATGAGCAAAATATATGTATTGTATAGTATCAACCCAAAGTTTAAAATAAGATACTGTAGACACCCCATAAAAGAAAAAGAAAAAAATCAGACTTCTTCTTTGATAGGAAGGGAGGGCCAAAATTTATTGTACGGGGGTTCTAGACCCCTTGCCCTCATGATGTGGAAGGAATAGCTGTGTATACATGAAGTATGACTCTAAAGACCTGATTTTTTTTAAAAAAAAGCTTATTACTTTGGAATCAACGTTATTACTTTGTAGTTGCACCTTTAATCAACTTGGTGTAATGAATATTGAATTGATAGAGAAGAAACAATTCATTCAAACCTTTTGGGTTTGGATGAGTCATATAATGTATCTATCTATCTATCTATCTGTCTTTGGGATTAGGCAAGTCACATGTATCTATCTCTGTCCTCTCTATCTTTATCTCCTCTATGTGTATCTCAACCTCTGTCTATCTCTCTCTATCATCTATATTTTTTATCAATATCTATATCTGTATCTATATGTTTTCTAGTTTATATTTTCCAAGTTTTAAAATGCAAGTGACTTCTTATAAAACATAAGGAACGTAGAAAAAATAATGAAATATATCTGAAAATGGAAGGAAGATGGTATATAGAAGTCTCGGTGACATCATGAAAACCTGGTTTCATATCCCACCTCTGATATATACTAGCTGTGTGGCCATAGGCTAGTCATTGAACTGCTCAGTGTTCCAGAGAAGCCCCTAAAACTATAGGTTGTTTGAGTTGTTCATCTACATATATTGATAGAGGGAGGTTCCATAATATTTCCTATACAATTGAAATCCTAGGTATGTTATGCCTCTCTTTACTCATTCCTTCCCAAATTATTCCAGTCAATCTTCATTTGTTAGGATCCTGAAAGGTTAAATCTTGCTTTAGTTCTGTGTTGAGAGAGACACAGAGAGAGAGAGAGAGAGAGAGAGAGAGAGAGAGAGAGAGAGAGAGAGAGAGAGAGAGAGGGAGAGAGAGAGACACAGAGAGAGAGAGAGGGAGAGAGAGAGACACAGAGAGAGAGAGAGAGAGAGAGAGAGGAGAGAAGGAGAGAGAGAGGGAGGGAGAGAGAGAGAGAGAGAGAGAGAGAGAGAGAGAGAGAGAGAGAGAGAGAGAGAGAGAAGCGCAGTATGTCTTCCTAGGAAGCAGGGAGAAGACTAAGAGCATAGGAAAACTTCCCCTATGTCTATTTGACAGGAACCATCCAAATTCGATTAGGTAGCTGGATGTTACCATATGATCTGAAAATATTTTTGTTGTTTTGAAAAAAAAAATACACACCTTACCTGTGGTGTAATGAAAAGAGCACTGGCTTTTTATTATATTTAAATCCTAGTTTTGCTCCTTACTAGTTCTACGACCTTAGGTTAGTCACTTACACTCTTCAAGCCTCAGTTTCCTCTTCTATAAAATAGGAATAATATTGCATGACCTACCTTCCAGAGATTCTGTGAGGATCAAAAGAAATGATAATACTTTGAAAATTGTAAAGTATGGTGTGAATATATGACTTAAAGGTCAAAGCAGTCTATGTATGTAATGAAATTCCAAAGACCTTTAAGATGCTTCAAAATGTTTATGCCATGAGGTCATGATTTTGTGAAACCAGTTTCAGTTTTTTATTTTTGTCTTCATGAGTGAAATTGAAGATAAAATTGCATAAGCATAAATTTTTCAAACAAAAAATTTTAAGATATAGGTTAGAAATATGTGAAAAGAATAAAGAATTTCTTTTTAAATTTTATCTAGCATGTTTTTTAATTATAAATGTGAACTAATTCACCTGCATTTTTTGAACAGATCATGTTGTCTGTGAAGAGGAGTTTAAGTATGCCATGTTAGCTTTAAACTGCATATGCCCAGCAACTTCTACCCTTATCACACTATTGGTCCATACCTCTAGAGGACAGTAAGTATATATACGTGTATTTTTTTCAAATAATAGTAGGATCTTAGAATAGATGTGAATGTGATTATATAACTTGGACATGTCATGAAGGAAAGATTTTTCAACTGGATTTTAGAATGGTATTGAGTAAAGCAATATTACTTAAACCCAGGGATAAAACCAATTCCATCACACTGACTCCCTTGCAAATCTAAATTATCTTTCCATTTTTAAGATTGTGGGTTTTATCAGTAACTTATATATGGCTCAATGCTCAAATCTTTGACCAACTCCCAAGCTGCTTTCTGAACCTGGAGCTACAAGTAAGTAAGCAATTGCATATTGCAAAATGATTATAAATCAAAATGATGCCTGTTTTGTTATTTAACTGGGCAAAAGAGAAGAGTAATCATAGTTTATGGAAAAGAAAGGTAACTTCACTGGCATATGTTAGGCCCCTTGGAACTGCAAAAAATTCAGAACTTGTTTTTGACTTTCATTTTATGAAATATACTGCAGATAGAAAAAGGTTCTATTTTCTGAAATTTCATACTCTTTACTTAGTACCTTAGGCAAAAATTCTAACTTTCCAAGCTATATACATTTATTGTTAAGTTTGCTTTCAGTTTTTCATTTCACATATTTATGATCTCTGCAGTTAAACAAATTTAGTCATTTGGCTATAACTTAAGTCACACCTGGAATTTTTTCGCTTTGCATCTCCATCTCTTGGCTTCCCAGACTTACTTCCAGTTCCAGCTAAAATTACATCTTCTGAAAGCCTTTACTGATCCCCTTTAATGCTAGTGCATTCATTCCCTGTTGATTATCTCCAATGTATTCTTTTTGTCTTGTTTATAATAATTGTTTGAATATTATCTCTGAGAACTAGAAGCTTCTTTTTCCTAGGGTGAAGACAGGCTTCTCTTTCTATCCCCAGATACTTGCATGATTCCTAGAACATAATATAGGCACTTAATAAATACTTAAATACTTGTTGATTTTGCTTGACAAGGCTCTATTCAGGTAAGATCTAGGGTAAGGAAAATGGTCTCTTGGAATCAGATGCAGCCATGCTGGAATGGAAAGAGGGAAGAGAAATAAATACAATTAACGGCCTATTATGTGCCAAATGCTGTATTAAGCTTTAGAAATATCATCTCTTTTGGCCCCCCCGACAATCCTGTGAGGTAGGTAGTGGTATAATCCCCGTTTTACAGATGAGAAAACCAAGGGAGACAGAGATTAAGTGAGGTTCCCAGGGTCCCACATCTAATAAAAAGTCTGGGGACAGATTTGAACTCAGGTCTTTCTGATAGCTCCAACACTCTATTCACAGCACCACCTAGCTGCCTCTACAACATCATACTGGGAATTTAAAAGATCTAGGCATGAGTCCTAGCTCCATTGCTTTTTGTGGAATATGACTTTGGACAAGTTACTTTGCCAATTGGAGCCTAACTTTCCTATCTGTAAAATAAAGGATTTGAATTTGTTGATCTCATTAGCAATACTTTGTTATTTAAACACATATTTCATGCTAAATTGCCAACTAAAGACACAGCAGAGATTTAAAATATGATAGATAACCTAATATTGTTGATTCTAGCCAGAGTGTACTACATAAATGTATTGTTATTCTAAGTAAAGATTAAGTAATGATTCAGAAGTTTTGGATGTTCCCACATCCTAGCCACACCATGGGAAAAAAACTGTTGGTAGCATGAAAAAGAGCCCTGAATTTGGAATCGGAAGCCTGGTCAGACTACCCTGGTTTGAATTCTGCTTTTAATATTTAGCACTTTTGAGACTTTGGGTAATTGGCACCATCTCTCTGGATTTTAGTTTACTCATCTGAAAAATGAAGAAGTTGGATCAGATGACCCACCTCATGGGTCTCTTCCTAATCTAAATGTGTGATCTTAGTGTTTATGTTATATAATCATAGAGTTTTAGAATTAGATGGGATCTTAGATATCATCCAGTATAACATTTTGATTTTCTAATTCAAGAAAGTGACTCTCAGATAGGCTAAGCGACTTACCAAAAGTCACACTGCTAGGTAGTGGTGGAGCTAGGATTTTACCTTAGCCCCTCAGTTTACTGTTCTTGCTTATACAGTAGGGTGCATTAGGTAGAATCCAAAAGAGTGACCTGGGCAATCTTTGGAAGGAATGACATAGGATTTCAATTGCTATTCACCTAAAGGCACAGGCCACAGGAAATGGATTAACCACACTGAGCTATAATGACATATTTGTATTTTTTCTCAATAAAACATTATTGAGGCACCCCAAAAGAACTTTGTTCAATTTTATTAAATGATGTCATGACTATAGATATTAGTATAAAACAAAATATTAATTGTAACTGTTAGGTAGAGATTAGATCCTCTTCAATAGGTAGACGATAAGGTCTCTTTTTTGTATTGTAAATCAATAAGGAAATATACTTTGGTTTGAATGATCTTATTTTGCAGGGAATTTTTCAGAATTACATCTGTTTCATATGCTGAGTGATGCCTATAAATACAACACATAGATAACTGTATATGTTTTAGCCCATTTGGAGATGAACTTGATTCTTAAATGTATGTTTTGCTTTATTTGCATAAAGTAAAGCAGGAAGAATCCTTTGACTATTTGTATATTTAAAAATACAGAAGCAGAAACAATTCCATCAGTATTTTTCCAGACAATTCAAGCAAAATACTTTATTTTTGGAAATATTTAACTTTTTTCAAGGCTCAACTCAAGTGCTACTTTTTATGCAAAGCCCTTTATGATTCCTCTTATTGTTAGTGTTCTTTCCTGCCTCAAATTGTTTTTATTAACTGTTTAAAAGTTGTGCTACTCATCCACCCAACCCACTGGAATGTAAGTTCCTTGAGGGTGGAAGCTGCTTTTTTTTTTTTGCCTTTGAATTTACCAACAGATACTGTAGTCCTTTGCACAAAGAAAGCACTTAGTAAATGCTTATTGAATGAATGAGTAAATTAAAATAACTAATATGACAAATTTAGCAATTCCACCCCCCTCCCCGAACACTCATAATTTGTTTTTTCAACAATGTTTATAGGTCAAAACTTGGATTACTTATCCTCGATGGTGACATTATAGTAATGATATTTAATGTTTAAGTTAATGGTTATTAGTATGATCATTTCTTTTAAAATTTAGGACTTCTACTCTGCATACTTTCAAAATGAATTTTGTGTATCTAACATAAGTAAATATTGTAGAACCAGACAATCCAGGTAAGTTCATTAATTTAGTAGGATAAGGTCTTACAAATGACTTATATGTAATGTGATATTTTTCCATATGAATATTAGTGGAGTTCTGTGATTACTGGAAAAATCTTATTCAGACAAAGCTCTCACCTGATTTTGTGTGTTATTTAAAAAAAATAATTTGTAATGGGGAAAATAAGCTTGATGTCTCCATATTTCAAGGTTTATCATTGGAGAACTACTCAGATCAGAATAGTTTGAAAGCAAACAAATCAAAATAATCTGTTTTATAAGAACTTTACCCTCTGCAACCTCAGTGAACTCACTTTTATAATATGTGTATATGTAGGTATATATATATATATATATACACACACACACACACACACACACACACATTATTAAACATGTTAAACAGGTACATGTATGTACCTTATTAAACATTTGCTTGATTCTCCTGTGTATTGTAGATATGTATATATGCACATATATTCACCTCCCTTTCTTATTAAACTAACACATTTTATGCAGCCCAAATTATGTTGATTTCTAAGGCTAAAATTATAAAAGTATATATTTATGAGTATTAGTAACATATTTAAGAAGAAACTTTAGGTGGAACAATAGAAGTGGCAATACTTTTGTAAAAAAAATATTGCAAACTTTGGTTAAATGACAAATGACTAGTGTAATATGCTTGCTAACACGAATTAAATATGTTAAACTTGATTCTTGCACATAGGCACACATGTATACACATGCGCACACATGCAAGCACACGTGTAGATATGGACATGTATAAATCCTTACATTATAATATGCATGGGGAGATGCATATAATGTAGATATATGCATACATGGGAGCATCAAGTTTAACGTGTTTAATTAATGTTAGCAGGTATATTGCACTATCATTTATTATTCAGCTAAAGAGATTACAGTGATTCTTTTGTGTTTTGTTTTTATAAAAATTAAGACTACTACATTTGTGTCTTCCAAAGTTACTTTTCAAATGTTTTAATAAAACTAATTTAAAGTACATACTTTTATCATTTTCACCTTGGGGATAAACATAATTTGGGCAGTATAAAGATGTTAATTTAATAAGAAAGGAAAATGAGTTGGTATGTACAATGAGAAATAGTGACTAGACCAACAAATGCATTATGCGAGTTATATTAAACCACTTATTGAATATAAATTAAAGATGCTATTCAGTGATTTCTGTGCACCCACATATACACACACACATGCACACCAAAAAAAAAAAAACAAAAACAAAAACAAATGAAGTAACACTATCTTGACTCCAGCCTTAATGAAGGTTTTGCTTAGTATTAAACTATACTGTTGTTATGATATTTTTATTTTTAAATTTTTAAAAATTTTTCCAGGGAATGGTCTCCAAAAGGCAAATGATGGACATATTTTTATTACACTTAAAAACTTATTCTACCTTCTTTGACAATTATGGAAATATACATATGAAAATGTAATTGTCACTTTTGTTAGAAGAACATTACATAGCTGAAAATTATATCAATGTGCATTCAGCCTTTATATGCACGTATAGAAAACAAAACTTTAGAAGCAAAAGCAGGAATTACATTTTTATGAAGACCTCACTGATTCTGTCTATCTAACTTTTGATTTATGTTTATAGATAAAGAAAGTATGTATGTTTGGTCTCCCTCACTTTAAATGAAATCTTCAATTATGACTGTGTCACCAACTTTAGGACGTTGTAATTGGTATTCAATCACATATGGGTTATTCTATATGGTCTTTA